TTAAAACGCATTAAATTTTATTATCATTAACAGTTAATTTAACAAATGAACAAAAAATATAAATGTTCACAGAAATATCATTGGAAGACCTTCGTTTTTTAATCTTTAAAGATTTTCTATTCAAATATTATTTCTGACTACATAAAAAAAATTAATAGTAGTTCTTAATACATAGTAAAATAATATCAATCTGCAGAGATTTGCAGTAAAAAATAAATATTTTCCAGATTTGTGACGCAACTACTTAGTAGTGCTGGTTTAGTATTAGAAATACGAGTGAAATAAAAAAATCAATTAATTACATTACAACTCTTATACACTACTATGCACATTATCATTTTATTTATAGTATAATTATACTAACACAAGCTGAGCATTTGAGCATCTAAAATATTATATGATACACAATGAACAAAAAGGGTAAACGCCTATGTGGGTGTGCGTTGTAGAAATAAACAAACGAAGATTTTTAACCCTTGAAATTCGTGCATGTTAAATTGTATATTTTAGAAGGTTTTCATATATTTATATACATCTACAACACGACAACAACGACAACACTACCTCGAAGCACACTCCTGATTTAGCACGGACTTTTCAAGTATGGGAAAACTACGAAAATATGCAGCTCTATTGGAGAGTATCTCACTGGGCGGTGTTACTTCAATGTCGATGCAATGTAAACGTTTCTCGAATACCTGTTGCGCCTCTTGTGACATAACGCAAGGCTCATAGCTGGTAGCGCAAATCATATTCTCTCCATGCCGCTTTCTACCAAACAAAAAAAAAAAACAACAAAATTAACCGATGGAGGAACTAAAAATCAGCGATATAAAAGAGTCACCTTAGGAGTTTCACTCGTTGATCGAATATGCGTAAATTTACATCTGGCTCCTTCTCCCACATAGCGAGGATTTTGTTGTCGATTAATGTTGCAAACATTTGAGATTCGAGAAAGCGAGACAAAAACGCCCGATGATGTTCTGGTTGGTCGGATAAAAATGAGGACTTATCAAAATTTTGCAAACTTTCACGATTCGAAATCCACTCGTCACGTGCTTGATTCGGGTAGATAACAAAAAATTCATATGCGTAAAACATGTGTACGAAACGATTAAGAAATGTTTCGCGCAACGCATTATTTATACGCAAGTCCTGATAGTATTGCTCTTCCAGTGACAATATAGTTGTTGGTTTTGTGTCCCTGCGTGCAGCCGCTGCAGCTTTGGTTGGTGACATTGTTGCATCGACGACATCGTCGTTGAGTGAACCAGCTCCAGGTGATTGTGTACGCACACCTTTACGACGAAGAAAGTCTGCTATGCGTGGTACATGGTCGATTTTCGAGGGATGTGCGATGAGTGGTTGGTATTCGATATGATGACTAATCCCATTATCTGTACCAGTTGCACTGCCATGACCGCTATCGGCCAGCGTATAAACAGTCTCTTGCAATTGATTGAAGCGTTCCTTGCTTCGTCGAGCCGCTTGTATACCCGACGGCAGCGTGCAACTACTTATCATAACGTCGTGATCACGTGTCGCATAACCATTTTTGAGTATTGGTTCATATGAACGATCTCTTTCTATTTCGAATTTGTCCAAAATTGATATAATTTCTGCCATGAAATCAATTTTATGTGGAAAAACTGGCAACTCTTCCGGCAGTTGTATGATTTTCTTATCTATATCGACAAAACAAAGTGTTGCCTCACTACCGATCTTATTAGCGGACTCACAATCGGCATGAAGACCCATGACAAATGGGACGGGAGCATCCAAAAAGTGATGGAGGGCAGCAGGTAGTATAGGAGCATACACATGGGGCCATACAAATGGAAATAGAATTGAAGTAATGCACTCACCAACGATCATTAACTTCTGATGATCTAAATGTGGTAAATAAATAAATTTTCAAACTGGATTGTAATCGAGTGGTTTTAGAGGTATGCGTACCATTTGAACGCAATAGAACTTGATTTTCGAGAAGAACACAGGTTAACAATTGTATTACGCATTCCACTCCAAGGTATGTAAATAACAAACGTAATGGAAAGTCCAGTAATGGCAGTTCTGTGCTTGACTCGGGTCGTTGCAGTACTACAGCTAAGGGTGGCAAGTGCGGCTCTGAAGGAGGCAAGTAAATTCTTATAGATTTCCCCGACTGTGGCAACATTACTTCGTACAAAATATTGTACACATAGGATTCGAGACTTATGCCAGGTCCTGGTTGACGTGGAAGACATCTGAAAGAGAAAGAGATAATAAAATTGTAATTTTGTATAAAGCAAATTTCATTATTCAAAATTACGTACTTATAAAGGTTACTGAGAAAAACTTGAGCAGCGAATGCATACGGAACTTGACATATTAGTGAGATACTTTTGGCGACAAACAATTTATCTTTTGCAATGTCATAGTAACTTTGTGCTGATTGAGGTGCTTGTCCGGCTACTTTGAAATGCCGCGGAAGAGATCGACTTACAGGACTCTCCCTTACACGGCCAAGCGAATGAGTTTGTTGGCCGCTTGACAACTCCGTTATAAACATGGACTGCCGAATAGTAAAAGATATTAATCAAATCGTATTTTAATATTATTTAAACGTAGAATACCTGCAATGTGTGCATAGCACTACATATATTGCGATTCCGTATTTCTTCATAGAACACTACACTAAAACCATAACAGCGTTTTCCATCTTCTCTAGTAGTTGCAAAGGAGTGAAATTTCGGTTCAATATCATGTTTCTGAGTTCGGAAGCGCAACCCTTGGGGCAGTGAAAGCTGAAATCATATTAAATTATTAAATATATGTATGTATGTATTTATACAAATATAAAAATGTTTTATATGGGCACAGACACATATCATACAGAATATAAATCGATGGTATAATACTTTTTTAAACTACTTGTATTAACATTTTAGGTTATCTGGAAGAACACAACTAATATTCGTGTTTACTTATTTATTCGGAATTCATGCAGACTATTTGTAAACATTCCAAATTTCAATATTTCCTTTAAGAAATTTTATTCAGAATTTTTTTTACATTTTTATATTATTTTTTTTTCTTTATGAAACTTGGAATTTGAAACTATTTCCTTAATTTATTTTCGTCTACATACGTTGCCCAGAAAATTTGTTGGTAGTTTATCTCAATACTGTAGATTACAATATGAAACTTTTGCTACGTCTTGTACAGCACTGTTGAATTTAAGTAATTTAATCTTTAATTGAAATCAATTGAGGTCAGCTTTGTGTAATAAACCGATACATGTACATACATAAATAGACTGCAAGAATGTACACATACACATACATATACATATGTGTATTTTTTTGTGCCCATTCACATATGTATATAGGATATACATTTATATTTATGAAAGATGCTCTTTAATGCAAACAACCAAATAGTCTTATTTAATTATACATATCTAATTACTTACCATACAAATACCATGTGCATCAAAGGGATTCCATGGAACATTTTCGGGGTAGTGCGCCAATGGCTTCGACTTATAGGCTCGATCCAGAGGCGAACAGTGCAAATTATCACCTTAAATAGCAAGTAAGCAAGAATTAAAAAATTGTGGTGAAAATTATTAGCACGTATCACATTAAGGATACTGATTTTGATTATACATCTATTACAATTGATCATGCACCTGCAAAACGATCCGGCTCTAAGCCAGTATCTAAGTCCAATCCACATATCACAAAATAGTCGGCGAATCGGGAATATTGTGGATCTGATTCTCGTTTCAGCTGGCTAAGTTCGTGGGAACTCATCTCACCGGGTGAAGTTGGAGATGTGGCCACGCGATCAACCTTTGTCTCGCTAGAAGCAACTTCATTCCGATGGCTACAGCTAACAGTATTTTTACTACCACTTGCACCATTATTACTGCTGTTATTATACTTTCTCATGACCACTTTACTGGCCAGCTGAATATTGCTTGTTGGCGCGGATGTGCCCGTTGGCGAATTTTGATGTGGTTGTTGATCGGCAAGCATTAAATTCGTCATTCGTTGAATATTGTTCTCCGTCGTCATAGTATCACTATACATACATACACTGCCTCCCAAATCACTGACAGTCCAAGCAATGTCAGTTGCTTTGACTGAGCAATAAGGCCCCAGGCAAAGTTAAGGAGATTTTCAAGGACACAAATGTAGTTTATTAATAAGTGAACGATTTTTTAAATATAATTATTACATGTGCGGTAATTTTCCTTTGTTTAATTATTTCTGGAAATATTGATTTTTCTGCAAGTACAAAAGGAATGAACAAAGCACAACAAAAGTACACAAATTGTTAAAAATTTGCCAACTGGTTATAAAATTAGAAATTTCTTTTCTTACATGTATGTATATTGCGTACGTAGTTTGTGTTTATTTGTTGTTGGCAGCAGCAAATGGTTTGTTGTTGTGGCTGGTCCAATTGACTCAAATATTGTTGAATTTTCTATTTCCTTCTGCCTCTTCTGCGCTTGCCTCTTTCGTTTCGGTTTCATCAAATACACAATAAACATTTTCACTTTGCCAAATTTTTGATCACAAACAACGCGTGTTTATTTCAGTTTATCAATTAAAATGCAATTTTCATATTTATTTCGTGTTATATTTTTTATATGATTATTTTTCTTAAAATCGGAGAAAGCTTCCCCATACAAATTAATTTACTTCAGCAACCATCGCTAGATGGCAGTAAAATAAATGAAGGTTTAGACTATAAAGATTAAATATTCCATTAATTGTGCGAACGAGTACAGATAAATACTAGAACGCGGTTCATAAATGAAAATACGACAAAATCCATACTGATTTATTTCGAGGTAAGTATAAACTTAAAAAAAAGATTATAAACATATTTTTTATTAAAAATTTTCCTCATATGTATATGTACTCATATATCCGTTGTTCTATTGAATATTTTGTTAGTAAAATATTTTACAACTCTGGTTTTCAATAGCAACCCTTCTGATAGTTTTTGTTCAGTGGTCGGTTTTTCATCGCAAAAATAACTTGGTGCCGCTAATATTTTGTGATGAGTTTTTCCGCTTAACATTTTATTGAAAGTTAATAATTGTATTAGTTTTCAGAATAAACTTAAATTCGTAAATCTTAATAGAATAATATCAATTAAATTTCGATACTTTGGGCATCCGTGCAGTTAAGCTGTCGCACGGTGCCCATGTGGAAAATTGATTACATTTCAAGCTTGACGACTCTTGAAATACGCAAACTAGTTTAAAGAATGGCTGGTGGAAACCAAGCGCGCGTCATTCAAGTGACGAATATTGCACCCCAAGCCACGAAAGATCAAATGCAAACATTGTTTGGTAATATTGGGAAAATTGAAGAAATCCGTCTATACCCAACTGTGCGTGATGTGTCCTGTCCCGTGCAATCACGCATTTGCTATGTTAAGTATGCGGAAAGTAGCTGTGTTCCAGTAGCTCAACATCTAACTAACACTGTATTTATTGATCGAGCACTAATTGTCATACCTGTGCTGGCAATTCCTGAAGAATATCGCGCATTGGAGATGTCCAAAAATGGGACAATCGTACCGGGACTACAAAAGCCGGATTCAAAGTTGCCTCCAGAAGTGATCAATCGCATTGAAGGCCAGTCTCCACAACAGGTTAGTATGTATATGTTTATTCTTGTAATTACTAACAGATTTTGATAATTATAGGTTATAAAAACGTATGATCCTAAATTGTTGGACAACAATTTGCCCGAATATCCAGCATTGCCATCGTTTTATGACGCTAGAAAAATTGAAGAAATACGCAGAACAATAATCGTATGTGATGTGAAGAATGAATGGCGTCTTGACGATTTAATGGAATGTTTTCAACGTGCGGGTGAAGTAAAATACGCAAGGTGGGCGGAGAAAGATGGTAAAACTTATTGCATGATCGAATTCTGCGATCAACCAAGTATTATACATGCTCTTAAAATGCAAGGACACGAATTCAAGGGGGGATATTTAAATGTATATCATTCAACTGATTCCATAACCAAGCCAGAAGCAAAATCAAATGAGGCAGCACAGGCAGAAATCGAAGAGGCAATGACTATTGTAAAAGAAGCTCAAAATATGATTTCAGCTGCAATTGATCCCGTAATTGGTATGTTGGCTAAGGACAAGCGTCGACGTTCCCGCTCACGTTCAAGATCTCGTGATCGGCGCACTAGTCGTTCGCGTTCACATCGTTCACGCTCCAGACGTCGTTCTCGGTCTCGTACTCGTAAACGCTCCCGTAGCAAGTCCAAACGACGTTCTCGCTCGCATTCTCGTGGTTCACGTTCACGCAAACGCTCCAGGTCACGAAAACGGTCTCGATCTCGTCGTAAGAGTCGGTCTCGCTCACGTTCTAAAAGGAGATCTAGGTCCCGCGACCGTCGTGCCAAACGTTCTCGTTCACGTCATCGTCGTAGTACCTCGAGATCGCGTCGTTCCCGATCTCGTACTAAACGTTCTCGCTCTCGTGAGCGCAAGCGTTCGCACCGTACTCGTGATGAGAAACGTTCCCGTTCTTCGCGGTCACGCAGCAAACGTCATTCGCCATCTCCATCAACACGGTCACGTTCGAGTCGCAGTAAAGATATTGTTCCACCAACAAAATCGTCTTCGTCTAAGCGACGTTCGCGTACTCCTGATCGCAAATTAAAACCTATTTCAGAAGATTTAGAAGTAAAAAGCACACGATCAAGTGTGGACTCCAAGTCTCGCAAATCTGTTAGCGTGGAAAAATCAGACAACATGGATATATCTAATTCACCATAACTATCCTTTTAGTAATTGAATGAACATGTCACTCTTAAGTTAAAGTTTAAATATTCGAATTTCTTCTGTATAATAATTTATATTTGATGTATAATAATTTATGCTCTAACATATTATACTATTTTATACAGAATTCAATATTTCAAGAATATACTGTTTGAGAAATTTTATTTTCCCCCGACAAAGCTTATACAATAAAGAACGCACTCTACCATCCGCCACATTTTCTATTTTGTTTTATTTTAACAAATCTACAAAATGACAACTCTTCTTCTTGAGCAAATTAATTTAAAAAGTACAGCATAGACACATTTTATAAATATTTGTTTTGTTCAAAAATTATCAACTTTGCACTAGTCATTGAAATATTAGAGATCTGTAGCCAAATTACATATTTAATTGTATTTCTTATTAAAAATAAATCGCGTTGCATGTAATATTTAAAAACGTTGCTGAAAATTTTGTTGTTGATTGAACATCATTTGTTGTTGCTGCTGTTGTTGATGATGAAAATCTTGCGTTTGTTGCACTTGCTGTTGCTGTTGACCAGGACCAGCTGGCCCCGATAAACGAACTCTTTTAGCATTTGGTTCTTGCTGTTGTTGCTGCTGCTGTTGTTGTTGTTGTTGTCTTTTGTTGTCGGCTTTATCTTCTTGGTCATCATCTGTTAAAAATTCTCTCTTCGGATAAGGAATAGGGGTACCCGCAAAAACGTCTTGAGTAGGCAGTGGATCTTCTTGGAAGTAAGGATCTTGCATAGCTTGTTCTGAAGTGATGCGTTTATTAGGATCCATAAGCAGAAGTTTCTGTAAAAGATGGAATGCTTTGCTATCTGGTTTAATTTTGTGGCGTTCCATATATTTAGCTAAAGAGCAAGTTGAATAAGTTGAGCGCTTGAAATCTTTTATTAGAGTATGATGCTCAGGCATTTTTTTGATGTCCTCCCAATCCTTGTCTTGCGGAAATCCCATTACATTGAAGATACGATCCAGTTGATCATGGTGATATGGATTACTAGTTTTAATATCTTCTTGTCTACAATGAAAAATAGGCTCGGACGTAAGCAATTCGGCGAAAATGCAACCAATTGCCCAAATATCAATTGCTTTAGTGTAATGACGCGCACCTAATAGCAGTTCTGGTGCCCGATACCAAAATGTTACAACTACTGGATCTAAATCTGCTAACGGTTTAAGTGGCGCGTTAAACAGACGAGCAAATCCCATATCTGCAATTTTTACGCGTCCCCTCTCATTACCATCACCCATAACTAAAATATTTGCCGGCTTTAGATCTCGATGTAAAACCCAGTTACTGTGCAAATAGTGTATCCCATCCAAAATTTGATACAGTAAACTTTTCACCATTCCTCTCGGTACAATTACTTGCTTCTTGGCGGCTTTAGCAGCACGATGAAACTTAATAATGTGCCATAAATCGTGCTCAGCGTAATCTATTAAAAGAAATACTTTACGGTCGTTGTGAGAAAGGAACACCCGAATCAATGTGATTACATTTTGATGTTTGAGTTCTCGAAGAAGTGCGATTTCTCGACATGCAGACATGGATAAACCAGTTCCATCTATCTGCTTCAGTGCGTATTCTTTGCCGTCAGTACGCTCCTTCCATTTTGCTTTGTAAACATGTCCATACGTACCGCGTCCTACCTTACAGCCTTCGTAGTTGAAGAGGTCCTCCACTTTCGTTCGTTCCATTTGCGTTTTCATCTTAAAATCGTAATCCATTGCAAAATATTAAGTAAATGTTTTAATGAAAAGTATTAGTTAGGCACGTTAAACTGAATTCATAACTTATATTTTTGCTATACTGGCGTCTATCAGCTGTTTCACCGGCTGTCAAATGTATGACAATTAAGAAACTGTTCTCAAGAATAGTTAGAACTGCTTCAAGATTAATCGATTACAACACACCACCTGTCAAAGGCGCATGGTTATCAAATAAATAAATATATTCGAAAGGATTATAAAYAAATATACGAAATAAATTTAAATCCTGGTTGAAAGGGGAACTACAAATTAATAAACATGGGAAAAGTCAAGAAAAACATCCGCATGAAAGCCAAGGCTGCAGTATCAAAAGCTGCTACTGCCACCACCAACATTAAATCAAAAATACAAAATGTTGGCAAGAAAGATGATACGAGTGTCCTCGAGGACAAACTTCTCCTAACTAAGACGCCTACCAAGAAAAAAGCAATTACCAAACGCGAGAAGGTGCGCCAGAAACATAAACATCTAATGAATAAATTCGCACTGATAAAAAAGCAACGTAAAGAGGAAGCAGCGCGCAAAAAAAGAGAAAAGACGGCGGTTATAGGTGACTTGAAACCCCTAAAAGATGCATTACCCTCCTTAGATGAACTATTTAAATTAAGTAAACAATCTGATATTAAAACGGGAATCAAACACATCGATGAGCCGAAATGTAAGGAGAATCTAAAAGATGATAAGAAATTGAATGTTAAGCAAAAGTTGAAGAAAAAGAAGGAGAAATTTGTACGACAAGTTAGCTCTTATCAGGCCCTTCTCAAGGATCCAGATTTTAAGAAAAATCCTCGTGATGCAATTTCCTATCATATAAAATATACACGTGGACTTATAGATTAATAAAGTAGAACTAACTATATACATACATATTATATGTATACATACATTGTGTTTAAAAACATATATTAACCTTTATACTATACATCGTCCCTTTTTTCTTGTATTAAATTGATTGTTAAAATATTGCAATCGTTAACTGACGGTTTCAGAATGTTACAATTTTTTATTGAATTTTTAATATCGTCGCAGAAATCAAACTAGAAAAATTCGATTTTATCATATCATTTATTTATACTAATCTTGGGGAYGAGAAGATTTTTGTAATGAGTTTTATCATTTATTTGGATTTCACTTCATTCTTACATGAGCCAAGTAATTGTTCTTAACTATTTTAGATCTACAAGCATATGAAACTTAATTTAGTATGGATGTATGTATGCTCTTGAGTAAATTAAATAAAATTAATTGTTTTTATCACTTAAAAAATTTCAGTAGTCAATCGTACCAGCAGATATGGCATTTTTATGCTTTGTACGTACCAAATAATCAATAAGGTAATTTTTGAATGCTATACGAAATTTTTGAGAAAAGCTCCAAACTTAAATAATTATTCATCAATATAAGACTTAAATGACTGTGCCGCAATATCAAAACTTTAACAATTAGTTTTTATTTTGGTTGAAAAGATTTTTTTGACAAAAATTTTATTAAAAAAGAAATAAGTTGTTTTAAAAATATTAAAATTTTTGCATCTAATGAAAGGTATGTACCATGTACGCTTATGTATATGTTATGTCATGTAAATGTATGTGTTTAGTTTTGTGAAATTATACAAAAACTGGGTTAAAAAAGTAACAGTAAAACATATTCTGGGCATAGGTTAAATACCCGCATAGTAGAATTAATGAAAAAATCGGTGTTATGAAAATTATATAAGCATGTATGTATGCTAATATTTTCAACTGAAAAACTTTGAATTTTGTTATAATTAAAATACCAATACGATATGAAATGTAAGGTGTTTCAACTCTAATTTTCGAAACCTGCTGTTAGGTAATCGAATTACTCGTAGTAGGTCTGCCTTAAGAAGTCGATTTAGGTGCGTGACAGGTTTTAGGTTCGTTTGATTTATTAAATACATAGTTAAATAAGGGTATAATAGCTAATTGTTTAACATATTGTTTAACAATGTTTTAGTATTCGATGTGTCATTTGTCATTATATAACATATCAAGTGGTGTTGGCTCTTACAGTGACGTGACTATTAGACACGGTTGTCCTTATTGATTTAGTAGAAGCATTAAAAAGTAAATTTATATGTAATACATTTATTTATTAATATATATATGTAAGGGCTGTAGTATACAATCTACAGTACATTGATCTATGTTTGCATGTATGACGAAAGTATTTATTATTTGTCTGTGTTAATGTTTTATGTATGAATTAATATTTATTTGGTACATCGACACACTTGTTTTGCTATTTATTTTATTATTAGATTAATATTTGCAATTATAGATTATAAGTATTATTTCTTATACTCTGGTTTTAATTTTTTTATTTTGTATTTTCGCAATGTTTGAGATCCTTAGAAATAATACATTTACCCCATTTATGTTTATAATTAAATCAAACGACAGCAAGAATTTTGTTTAGTGTATGTAATGTTGTTGTAAATGTATTATGAATTGTGAAAAACTAATAAAAGCATGTATTTTTTGTAAAGGATTTACAATAATTTGTGTAGTGATTGGATAAATTGTAAATTAAAATTAATTTTACACGTTGAAAATATTTTAATAAATGTTTGTGGTGAAATACAACTCAATTGTCACATAAGATTGATTTCTTGAAAAGGCATAATTATTACATGGAAATTTGTAGAGACATTATTCCCCAAATCACTTTCGACCCTTGAGTTGACGCCAAATAAATATTGTTTTAATTACCACTTTACTATATAGTTCTTTTTAGCCATGTTCGATATCATTTAACATGTTGTCCGTTTGTTTTTGTATGTGTAAATATAAACTTCACGTTTTACTTAAAATTATTTATAATTTTAATGTTTATGTTACACAGAAATAAATTTTTATGTAGTTATGTTATACATTCGTGCATACGTAAATACTTATATATGTATAAGCATGTAGTATAAAACCAAACGATTGAAAGACTAACATTATTGGAAACGTGCTTCGCCAATTTTTCTTACCCACTATGCACCGATGCGGATTTAATAAAATTATTTTTAAGCATTACAAACGACTTATATAATCATAACTTAAACTATGAAGAATTATTGATGCTTTAATGGAAAAAAATATATATAGCTATATAAATGTATATGCATATATAATTCTCTCGTAATTATAAATAAACCAATAAAACATTTATTTATTCAATAAAAACATCAAAAGGCTGCAATAAAAACAAAACATACATATATTAACCAATCGAGGAACAAGTGTTTGTGATTATATAATAGTTAAATCTTACCGGAAATTGATTCCTTTATTGGATAAGAGCCTATTGCATTCGGAGCTATCCGGCAGTGGCAATATGTAGTAATCACTTTCGCTGCTCTGTGGAGAAAATTTAAGCAATAGTTGTCTTCAAATTTTGGCAACTGATGATATATAAAAATTCGTGGTTTCTTATCAATAATAATTAAATCGTGGCAAATAACATACGTGCATCTCACCAGTTAAAATGCAAATTAACGTATCATCTCTGCATAAGTTTACAAGAGAAGTAAAAAACATTGAAACAAAATTTTGAATTTCGTTATTACCTGGCTATTATATTAAATAATACGAATTTGTACATTTGTGCATTAAAACAATAATTTAATTAATTTTTTTCTTTCTTAATCATGAACAATTAAACAATCTGAATTAAAATTTATAATCCCAAATACAAGAATGGAAATAAAATATGTAATTGCATGTAATCACGAAATTCTTAATTATTATTTTTTAAGTTTTTAATCCCAAATACCGGAATGATAATCTAGTTAAATCCAAAATTGGATTAAAAAATTATTGCTAATTTTTAACCTAAATATTAGATTGAGCTTATTTTTAATTGAACATCAACATACATTTTCCCTTCTCATATTACAATATTTATATTGAACTGCTTTTAGTTAAAGTGTTTCAGTTAGAAATAACTAAGTAAATATATATTTTTTATCCCCTTTCAATCCAACTATTAATTTGAACATTTTTTTTTTTACTTGTTAATTTTTAAATTAACTTCGATTGCACCGAGTCCAAAATACCCTTCAAAAATCCAATGATTTATTACTGGAACTTTGATAGGTCAGTTTGTATGGCAGCTATATGTTTTAGATGCTCCATCAGATTTCTTCAGATTGTGCCAATTTTAGTGAAGATAACCCGTCAATCAAAAGTTTTCTATATAAGGCCTTGATTTTGATCGTTCATTACATTACGTAATAAAAATTATAATAAAATTATTATAATGAAACTAAAATGTTTAATCTAATTTTTTTTTTTAAAATGTAGTTTTAAATTTTAACCCCTATTTTGATATTTTTGATGTCGTGTTATTTTGCATTTAAGATGACGATATATTGTAGGTCACGCAGTCATTTGTGATGGAAGGATAAATAAAGGCTAACACCTCGACAATTGCCTCACAATACCATCACTACTATGATTATTTTACTATACTATATAAGTAGTTTAATTATAGACATAAGAATTTAAATCAATTTTACTTACTTGTTCCGTGAATTCATGCTTGTAAATTTGAGTGGACACTTTCATATCAGAAAAAGGCCCTTTTAAAGCAAAAAAGTGAATACTCATTGGTGTGGTGGTTTTTGTTTTCAAGATAAGCTATAAATGTGAGAGTATTATAACAATATTGTTGTAATTATTTAGACAAAATTTAGTGCATTTTATTACCTGATAGGTTATGGTGCGCTCATTGGATTGATGTGGATCACGTTGGCTATTATTAATGCGAGCCTTCACCACCCACTGCTGGTTGAATGCCGTAAATCTAGCTGTCTCATAAAACAATTTGTGTACATATTCATCGGTACGATACGGTTTCATTTGCAAATCTGTAAAATATACACATATGTAAGTACATAAATAAATTAAGAAACAAAATATTATTGAATATTTAATTCGAAAACTTTTCTCCATTTTTAAAGGTAAATTTAGCTATACTCTCTACAATATTTACATATAAGCATTATTTAATTACCGTTAAATATAATTTTCTCATAACTCAACAAATCGATTAATGTATTAAACATTTTCTTTTCCTCTTTAATTCTAGCGTCGTGTGCTTCCAGTGCAGCCATTACTTCATAACCAGATTTGGTGGGATGCAAGCAGTTGCGCTCATGTTCGTTAGCTACATAGGCAAAAAAACTAGATTGTACATGGACGTTCCATTTAACAAGTTATGTAGTTACATACTTTCATGATTCGGTCCACGCCATTGACAACCAATTCGTGAATATTTGCAATTTGTTGGCCGTTCTTGGCATTCATATTGTTCATGGCGATCTAGCGACTTATATGGGAACTCTTTGTTGCAAAACTAAAAAATATAAATTGTCAGTTTTAACATATGTATAAGTATATACATATAAATGCATGTATGCAGTTATATTTTGGAGTTTTGAAATACTTGACATTCGCTGGGCAACTCAGAGGCGGCTTTCTCCACGGCCAAATTGCGTGATGCTGTGCTCTTCGAAATCTCCACACGACAGTTTGGACAGGTGGCAATTTGATCACGCAAACTGTTGCAAATTATATAAATATAAAATAATCGAATACATATTACTTTTAAATATAACGTTTTAATCATTAGCTGAAAATTAAAAATATGCTGGAATATTCTCTTAATGGTAATTTATTCAGTGATTATTTGAGTTATATTTAAATACATATAAATTTTGGTAGAAATATATATGCAAGTATGTATATATATTTTATATATATATATGTATATATATGTATATAGGTCATACCGTCCATCTGCGAGTAAATGTGTAAAACAAGCAGCACACATTAAATGTCCCATTTGACACTGTAATGAGAATGGTAAGTGGTAAATAGTTAGAATTTCAAGAAAATGCCAAATACGTTAATAAATAATTATTTGTTTGTAAATTTTGTGTATATATTATTTTATTTATGAATAAATAAGTGAAATCCTGTAAACGGGAAAAAGAAAAAAAGAATCTATTAGTTTGAAATCTTTGACGATTTGAACAATTTTATAATAGCATGGTGAAATGTGCTCTCCACACAACATATTACTGTTAGAAATACCACAAACGTAGATCGCATTCAAAGTCGTTCCATCACATAAATAGGATGCGAGCCGAATCACTTTCAATTAGGTCTACACAGAAGTGGCGTTTTTTGCAGTAATAGGCAGCAGAAAATATTGTGCGGGACGACCTGAGTGTGAGTATGAATGTATTAATATATTGATTGTACAGAATAGCGGGATAGGAACTTGATTGCATGAAGTGTTGTGGGAAAAATGAGTTTGGTCAAGTGCGTTGGAGAAATAATTTAATGACTTGTGTGAAAAATATTGCTTACGTGGTGAAATTAAATTAAGAAGTGTGAGTATACATGTAAGTCGGCATATGTTTTAAAGTAGTGAGGATAATATTAAATGGAAATTGTGGAGATGATTGTTCGGTGGCTAAGTGAATAGATAAGCCGTATATTTCTATATTTTTCTTTTAAATAAAAACAAGCGCATTGTTTTGGTTTTCAATTTAAATTGTGAACTTTTTTATTGATTTAACTTGTCGATATTTTCTAGTATTATACAATAAATACGTTTCATATGCGAAAGCTAGGTGTTGTATTTTTTTCATTATATATATATATATTTTTTTTTTCATTTTTCTGTGTTGCCTATATTTTTCAAATTCGCACTTTTACTTACTAAAATAGTGACAACAAAATGAAAGTTTTAATGCATATATGTATGTGTTGATACAATTACAACATATTCACAGATTTTTTACTACTTCATCACTTATTCCATAGTTATTGATTACATGTTTGTTTTTATTTAAAACATTTTGTTTGCATTTACAAAATGGTACATTTATACATTTCTCAATATAGGTACTCATAAACATAGGTATCTATATAAAATACTATATTCGTTAATTTTTATTAATTATCTAATTGATAAATGAACTATTAATGTAAATTAACTAAATAAAACTAATGAAATCATAATATTTGAATTTTTTTAAGGCACTCGATAGTATTCTAATTAATTAATAAGTTAGATAGTCAAAGAATTATTTATAGTCAACAATTTAAGTGGAAAATAAATTAAAAAAGTGATTTGCGTATAAAATTAAAATAAGTGAGAACTTAAAAGTCAGTAAACTGAGAGTATTAAATAAAAATCAATAAAAATTAATTAAATATATTTTATAGAACTTTTTTTGCACAAAATAAGTAATGGATATTATGTTAGTTAGAAATTTAATCACATCTATCAACTAGATTAACTAAATGTATGAAGAAGATGTGAATTTTTTTAATTTAATAAACCGAGTCCATTATTTGAATAACTATTTTCCAAAAAATGTAAATAAAGGTTTCCATTAGACAACAGTTAACCAATGATCACCGTTTCAAAATGAACTGATTACGAAATGATCCGGAAAAAAAATTATTTAAAATTTGGTATTGCTTTTGCTTGAGCCTGTTAAATATTATACTAACTGTCTATTTAGAAATCAGTTCTTAGTTTTTTCCAATGTTTTTTGTTTTACTATGAAAACGACCCCGATTCTATGGGTAAAAAATTTTAATACATTTCATTTTAGTAATTTGAGAAAAAACAGAAATCACACAAGTTCTTAGTAATTTTTGCAATGCAATTATACAATAATTATTTTTATTAATTATTTCGAAAATATATAATTCTTTTACGATTAAACGACATTAAGGGTGTAATAAAAATATAATATCGTTGATATAAAAAACTATATTATTTTTAGCATTTTTTCGGTAAAACCTGTGAGTTTTTGCATTCTACCGATTTTGTATTCCTAATTTTTTCAACAAAATTTTAATTTTTTAGTCCTAACTTTAACGTTTAAAGCGAGTGCCCTACAAATATGTATCTGCATTGGTAATTTTTGTTTAAAAACAAACACTATCAACTTCGTTAAATTGAAAATTGCCTCAAGGATTGCTATAAAGGAATATACATATCTTCCAACGAAATAATTTTTCTATGCATTTGCATATAAAAAACATATATGTATATATATGTGCATATGTATAGACATGTGTGCATATGTACACACATAAGTAAAATGACTCAATAGATTCAAGAAGCTAAGGTACAAGTGAGTTTAAGAAAAAAAACTATCAGCTAAGGACAAATCAATTGACAGTTGAACAAATTACTATCCAGCGAATCAGTGAGAATTATAACGAGTACTAAGAAGCGAATCAAAATACACTAAGCTATTAAACTTAAAATGCATACACTTCAACAATGCTGATATTTCAATTATTTTTAGCAACCACAAAATATACAATAGAACGAACACTAACGCATAGATATCCAAATAACTGCACATTATAGAGATGAGGACCACAACCTCCTCTATCTTTAGGGTTGGATCCACAATATGTACCAAGATGTATGTATGTACACGTGTTTACATATGTACATCTATTTTTAAATGAGGGAACATGTCCCCGACCAAAGACAAAAAAGAAAAAAGAATTCAAGTTGAAGAGAAATTCTCCTGTCCACAAAATCAACTAAAATGCCCCAAAGAAATTCATTTAAAAGTTGCTAGAAAATTGGGTGTGGTGGTTATGACTGAAAGATTGCCGTAGAACAAAAGAGGATGGGTGAGAATTGAATGTGTAAAAATTAACATATTCTTTGTTTACGATCTTCATTGCATCCCATACATATATCTTTCAATTTCCCATATACTTATTTATTCATTCACATATACAGGCTAATTTACATCGGTGTAATTGCATTTAATTGCATTTATTTCAGCGTTCCAATGACTATTCAATGACCATGACCATAGTATCTATCTTTATCACCTTAAAATCAAAATACAAACGAAAAATCGGATGCATTTCGTATCAGAAAAATAATAATAACAAACTGTCGAAAGAAGGCAATATCGTTCGGAACGAGAGGTGTTGTATGTACATATGTATAATCGAAATTAGTGGAAAACTCGTCGTAGTAGAGGCAAAATTGGCTGTTTGGAAAATTATGTACATTCAAATTCTTTGGTGAAATTGTTTGTAATTTGTTTTTTTTTTGTTTCTATATGATTTATTTGTTTTTTGTTTTTAAGTAAATGTGCTCACATGTATAATATGTATGTACATATGTATGCCTCACCATCAAAGTCAAAGTTTTTCAGTGTACATTTAGTATTTTTTTTCACCAAGAAAATTCAATGGCATGTAGTTCATGTACACTTACATACATACATACATACATACATACGTATATTATTTATGCACATACATATACTATTCTGACTATCACACAAGGATAGAAGTTTATGAAAATTAATTCATAATTACTGCGGTTGAATGAACTTAAATTACCCAATAAGCGCAGTTTTCGATGCGAAGCAAGACCTTTTCTTATGCCATTGACGAAATACTTTTTAGAGCTCTTTAATCAATTCTTAAATTTAATTTCTTATGACAGTTAAATTGTACAATTTAACGGTAAGTAAGAAAAATTGAATATTATGAGTTTCTAAAAGTAAAAATATAGTAAGTGCATAAATACATACATATGTATGTGTTTGGTTGTGTATAGATTTTTGTACAAGTCAGGAAATTTTTGGTTTGGAACAAGTTTTTTGCAGGGTATATACATATGTATGTATATGCATACTAACATCTATTTCTATTTTCTAAAATCGAATATACTAAGGTATTTGAGATATTTGTAAAATGATCGTAGTGAGTGGTCATTCCATTATAAGCAGCACTCATAATATCAGAATACAGAAAGAGGATAGAAATCACCTTGAAATAATAAATCTAAGCAGAAACGATGTGTAATGGCTAGGAAAATTGACCCAAGTAGTATATGTATGTATGTAAGAACCTGCACTAACATACATGCATATGTACATTAGAATATTGTACAACTCATGAAAACAATAACACAGAGTTGTAGTGTTTACAACAAAATCTTTCACAATAATAACAACCTGTCAAACCAGTTTGTTTCTTATTAGTTCAGCTGGCTAACAATGATTGTTGTGAATTCTGCCAGTTCAGTTTGTTGGATATTATTTACCAAATGCTGCCGTTAGACGACAACCTGTAACTTATACAATGTTTATGCATACCAATACAATACAAGCATGTACATATAACATACATACGTAGATACAGATGCTTGGATGCAATAGTAAATTGTGGCTCATCTACTTCCATGTAACAAAACAATTTTGGGAACAATATTTAGAAACCCAATTTACCGGACGTATTAAAAATAATTAAACAGGATAATATGTATAATAACAATTGTTTAAAATTCGAACTGACTTTAATGAAAGGAAAAAACAAAAAAGTTGCCTGTATATAAAAATTAACGTATGATGATACGTACAAATAAAATGTATATAGCCTTTTTTTCCAAATCTACATATGTATTTTTGTATATAATAAAACTTTTTGTCTTAAATAACAAAATAATTATGTAAATATCATTTGTAAATGAATTCGCATTGGGCCAGCTGGGTACAAAATCATTCAATATCTATGGGTTCATGCATGTTTATTCTATGAATGTCAGAAACAGCTGACTTTTTGTACTTGCTTCGCACCGAATGAGAAATAATAAACACAACACATGTACATACACATATGAGAGTATGTACAGCGTGGTATAATTGATATACAAACACAACGCATGATTGTATATACATACATGCATCTTTATGTGTGTATATAGGGGAGAATAAATACCTGTATATACATATGAACATGTGCACATACATATGTATATATATAAGCGCGCAATTAGTTATCAATTTCTCTACAACATTGTAGGTGTTATCGTCTCATATTTAAGGCATAATCACTTATAAATGCGTATAAATGTATTACGATGTACATATACATACATCCATATGTATATAATTATTATCTACATAATATCATCTTTATCTCACGATTAAGCATACCAAAAATAATAATATAAAATAGTAAGTATAAAAGTTATCTTTCAATTAAGATGACAGTAGGAAATTCGTATTGCATAACAAAACAAATCCAAAACTCACATGTTGAAATCACAATATACACTTGAATGTGTTTCTCGATATGTAAGTGAACATATATAATATATAGGTATGTGCATACATACATACATACTTATGTTATTATACATATTAACAAAATTCATCAGAATACCACGATGACGTCAAAAAACGCGATTGATTCAGCAACTATTTTTCCGCTGCCATAAGAGTGGTAGGTTCTACAAACAGAAAGTGAGCATAAACGCGAGCAAGTATGTAGTACATATGTTAGCATATGAAATATTTACGATGTATGTTTGTATGCATCGTAAATATTATTTATGTGCACATAGGTATGTATGTATATAGGTAAATTTGTACATATGTATGTAAATATACAATATATGAACTCTTTTAACCTATCAGTTTCTAATATGTGATTTCTAATAAGTCAAATATTTCATTAATTTGACTGAAAATGAGCTGGAATTTAAATTCGACCCTTTGACAGTATGGTGGTACATTTAAAAATAAAATACCAAAACGTATGACTTTCCAAGCGACATTTTTTGGTACATATGTACATACGTACATACATACATATGGAACAGGGAGCTGGGGCATAAAGAGCCAAACCTACCACTCAAAATAAAAAGACGCAATAGTTGCAACTTAACTGCACCGTAGACATTTGTAAGTTCTTACATCCACATATACATGTACATATGTATGTCTGTTTATGCACCATGGCTGTAGGGGCTACCATCAGTGAATGCATGTTTCAATTCACATAACCAAGGGAAAAAGAAATGCATTGAGTAGAATATTTCACAAATTGCGTTTTATTATAGTTTCTCCCCTCTTTTACTATATATTCGCTGTTCGCGTTTCTATTAAAACCAGTTACACTAAAACTATTACACTTCATCGACAAAGTCATCCCTAACTTTCTTTCAAAATAAAAAAAAAATACCTAATTCTAATTCTTACAAAATTTTGGTATGTTAACATAATAGATGAATTTATTTACATACAGTTGTAGGTGTCAGCAAGCTCATATGTACATATGTATGTACATATGTATATGGTTATGCAGCAAATAAAATTTTGAAACAAAAATATCAAATGCTTCCATATAACTACCTACACTCACATGTTTTTAATATATTCCAATATATCCATATGTTCAAATGTAGTTAACTAAAGGTCATTTCTTAAATAATATAAATATGTATGAATATGCTAAATACATATGTATGTATGTATATTATCAAACAGTTCACAAAAACACCAAAATATCTGTGATCAGAAAAAAAAAATTCACTTTACATACATAAGCATAAACGTACATATGTATGTGCTAGTGTAAGCAGATAAATGCATATGTATATACATACATACATATTACTTTACTTTATGCTCATGCATTGATATTCTAAACAAAATACGCAGTTCCCATTGTGTATGTATACAAGAAGTAGATAAGTAAAAGCAAACTCAGCTGAGAACTAAACCAATTGAGAATAACAAACAGCCGATCAGATACGTAACCAATGAGCCGAGCACACAGAAACAGTCCCACCCAACGTCCCTTGGAAAAAACAAAATTACTGAGGCAGCCATATTCTGCTACGTATTACACGATTTACACTAATACATATGTACTCTGGCCAACCAAAGCCCAACAATAATTTACCACCATCCCCAAGAACAGAAAATATCACTTATAAATATAGCAATAAGTTTTCTTATTAGAATCTGGCAATTTAAAAAGTAACTAATTATGAACCATTATAAATAATAATTCTTCGACTAGCTTATATACATTTCTTATATGGAAAGGGGAAGTAAAAGGGTAATTCGATACAATGGGAATAACAAAAATGGCACATAACAACGCACAGCTGATATTTATACTGCGTTTTTTTCATGAGTAAACGCTAATAATTGTTGTTGATTAAGGGGAAATAAATTATATTATTTATATTTTCAAATTAATTTTTTTGCCATGTACACAAATAAATCGGTTGCATATTATAACCAAAAACATTTTTCCTTTATCCATAACTATAGCTATTTATCTACCTGTTTTTCATATAGCCGTTAATTTTTTACCACTATGCTTTTACGGCATTTAAAACCAACATTTGTTTTTTAACACTATATGTCACTAAGCTGGATTTCTTGGGACTTTCATAAATAATATAATTAACGGCATCAAATTAATTTTAATAAAAAAAAAAAAATACAATAAACAAGTTAAAATATTACCCTTACACAATGTTAATTTGAACATTTTTGTGTAACATTGGTACTCACCTGATACATTGCTGTCTTAGGCAAATCCAAGCAAACAGCACAACATAAAATCCCTCCCAGACGGTACTCGAGTTTTTCATGTTGCGAAGCACTATTCCCACTACCCGCAGATGTGCTCGGATGGTCGAGCATTTGTTTCTTAGATGGTGGCTCACCAGAGTCTATTTTACCCCCACCAACACTTGATGGATTGCCACCACCTACTCCACTTCCAATCACTCCACTATTGACCAGACTTGAATTTTCACTAGAAGCAACATCCAATGCTATAGAGCTGGCATTGCTGACCGAATTCGAGGAAGTTCCAGCGCTACCACCATTTCCTCCACCAATAGCACCAGCAATAGGCTGTGATTGTTGTTGGAGACTTACTTGGGCACTATTATTTTCACCGAGTAACTCAGAGGATGCCAATAGAGGGATAGAATTTAGGTTCATGTTATTAGCGTTTGTAGGTGGTTGCTGCACGACAGCACTTGATTCAACGTCAGCCATTTTAATAATCTAAACTGCGGTTTAAGTTTAATATTTTTCAGCAAAATCGGTTTTTTTTTTATTATTGATGCACGAAATACAATTCTGAGCTTCCTCAACCAATATTTCGCCTAGTATATACGCGATTGTACTCCTCCTATTTATCCCCCTTAAATCGATTTTTCGGTTTTACGATGTATCAATTTTTTCTTTGCTGGTGAATTTATTTATTCAGTATTGCTTCAAATTTTGCTTATAAAAATACTTAATTTGATCGCTTCTATATAACAATGCGCTTTTTACGTAAACTTTCCCGTTTGATAATTTTCAATTCTTCCAATTCCAAAAATAATAGATTGATTGAAAACAAATGGAATTGTAGCTATTTTTTTCTTTGTTGGGAACAGTGTTAATATACCGAACCGTTGTTAAATATATGTTTATCGAGCGAATTCAACTCAAAGAATGAATACAAGAACGAATGTGCAATGTATTTATATTTATGTACTCTTCTTATTAGACACCAGTGTTGGGTATTCTAGTAATGCGGTGTGCTAAATTACTTTTTTCAAACTACTTGGTTCTATTTTTTAAGGAATATATACATACAAAAATTAACCAAATTGACTACATATAACTACAATTTTGTCTTTTTAATTCTAGAAGTGAAAGTTTTAAGATAGAAAATGCTTTAAAAGATATGGTCTTCTTTAGTGGCAACGCTAAATCAGCTGGAAGTCAAAGCAAATATTGAGAAAAGCGATTTAAAGATTAATTAAGCAAAACAAAACAATTCGAAATACATATTCATGCTTTACTAAGTTGCTTTGTCTAATAATTTTAATAATCATTATAGTGATAACATTAATTATAGTCCTGTGCTCTATTATATTTATTTTGTAAGCAAATATTAACAGGTACTAAACTTTATGAACTCCTTTTTAACAACATGTAGAAAATAAAATTTGTTTTCTGCCTTTGGACAAAATATAGGATTTTACGGTTAAATAAGCTATTTGTTTAGCACACAGATGGTTATACTTCTGTTATAAAATAATATCTGTATTGAATGAACTAGTAAGCCCTACGGTTTGTAACTATGGAAGTATATCGTTTATACTTTAGCCAGAAGGCTTGTGTAAAATTGATAGGAGAATTACCTGAAAAGCAGGTTAAATAATATCGCATACATATTCATGGTTATAATATTATAGATATTAGGTCGGAAAACTCTATTTGATGGTAACAGTTTAAACTTTTTAAGTTTGGGCTATTAAATATTTTTTTAAATGATATTTTGTATTTGAAATATATAAACTATACTATTTTTTGTTTTGTAGTACTAATATGTTCATACAAAGCAACAGTGGGTAGGTAGAAAAGCAAAAACAATATAGATATTTATCATTCTTGTGTTGAATACAATATTCGCGACAGACTGCAAACGACATCTGTCAAATATTAAAATACACACGTTCTTATGGACAGACCTATTTTGACAGCTGCACGACTAAACTATTGCAGACCGACAGTTGTCGTTCTCGCTAACTTCAATATTTTCTTACGGGGCATCTCGGCAGGACAGAATTTATAGAATATACCTGCATTGCCGTGCCGATTGCCTCTGGAGACTCCACTTTGCTCATAGCTTACTAGATATAGAATACTAGATAGTTTGGCATATATCGTAAGCTATGAGCTGTCACTTCAACCGTTTGGCAGCGCAGTTTTCATTTCTATGAAAATTTCGAAGAGGCAACATTTTGCACATATGCCGACGGCATTTTCATTTCGGTAATATGAAATTTAGAAGAGCGAGTATTACCGTGCGATTCTGGACTGTGATACAGTATCAAGTCTCTAAATTTGACAGATACAGTTTTTGAGACTTGAGACGATTTTGCTATTCTGAAAGTGATAGTCACAAACTCTATTACATTTCATTATTCAGAGATGTTTTTATACTTGACTGAAAATAAATATGTCGATAACAAATATTGAATTTTCTATAACATAGTCAAAAAACCTAATTATCAATAAAAAATAAAAATATGTGTTGACTTTGTTTCATAATATTAACGAAATTTATGTAAAATTTATTTATTTTTAATCTTTTCGTGTTTGAGCTGCTTACAAAATATAAAAAAACGACAATCGATTAATATCTATGGTGATCTCTATTCAGTATATTCAAAATGGCAGACAAGAGTTCTTTTTGATTTTGTGACTTGCTAACTACCAGGTCTCAAATTTGAATCAATATTTTGAGGCTAAAGCTAGAGACTGTTTAGTGAATAGTAACTAGTCACAAATTGAGATTTTACCACAAAATGTCTCAAATAGAGACTAAAGACTGGTTACAGAATCCCGCTATTAGTTATATTATAATGTTTATGTTATGCTAACAAATGCCCACATACAGATCTGGCAATGGCAATTGCAATAGATTTTACAGTTAGTATGATATACATTTTATTCCGTCGAGATGCCCCGTTAGTGCTATCGGTTATCAATCACGGTCGACTGAGTAGCCAACCAAATTATCTAATTTAGAAAGTTTTAAATTCAGTAAATTAAAAAAAGAAGTAAAATAACAGTAAAAATTAGCTTGGTTCATACGTATATACAAACACTTATTTTACAATAATTCCCTGATGTAAATATTATATTTACCATGGCCATAAATCAGACCTTGCTATCATACGACAGATGTCTCTGTCTAAAAAAAATCAGCATTGTGCTGCCAGCACCTTCATAAATAAAAAATATTATTAGTTGCGTGCACCTAATAGTTTAAATTATAAAAAAACTAGACTTTTTTAAAAACTTAATAGTTTTCAATTAAAAAATTGCTAGAGTTGACTTTAAATTGAGTTTCCGACCATATTGCTAGTTATTGACATCTTTAGATGCAACACTGCTGCTTATTTAGTGTTTTTGTATTCGTAGAATTGGAAAGTTTGTGGGATCAAAGTTTGCTCCTGTTTTTTGTTATATATGTTTTTTATTAGAAACTCGTAAAAATTCTTTGGTTGAAAGATATTAAGTTATTCACAAAGATAAAATATTTTAAATAAGCTTAAACGTACACATATATAGATAAAAGTTTGGTTTCGGAGCTGAAAAAGTAAGCACAAGAAAAACAATAACCTTTGCAACATACGAATCATCAGCAAAGGTGAATGACGAAATAGTTTTCAGAATTTTCTCTTACTTTCATTTTATACATATTTTGAGTGATGAAAATTGTGGGAATCTATTATTATTAGAAATTATTAATGACTTAACTATAGTTTATACTATTTTTAGGAAGTGAAATTAAACAAATATAGCTATTTTCGAAAACGGAATAGCGCGATAAGAAGCAGGAGCAATCGCTTCAAATCAGTACTAAACGATCAGAGAAGCAGCGAAGTATCGTAAATAGAAGAAACCAAAAAACGTCATAAGTTGTCATCGCATTACGTTTCGCATTATTCTTCCACTCCCATTCTTAAATTCCTACTGGTCATAGAAGGCAGACGACCTAATCATTCATCCAGTATTCGTTCGACAGAAATTTTGGACGGTAACACTAGTAATATTTCGTGAAAAGCTAACAGCTTAAATAAAATCTAAATTTCATTGTAAATTGTAAAAAATCGAATAGTGCAAATAATACTGAAACGTTAGTGCAAGGAAAACTAAAATTGTGCAAAGTGAACATATTACCAGTGGAAAAGAAAGAAAGTAGTAAAGAGTAGCTATAGAAGAACGGACAAACCCAAAAGTGCAACCGAACACATATGCAGATTGGTCGCTATTGACAGCCATAGTTACAATAGCAAATTAAACACAAATTGTACAGAAATTCATCGTCGTGGTATTCTATTCCCTATCTTAGTTGTACTCCAACACACAAAAGCTCCTGCTGTGTTCGCTATACTCCCCCTTATGTGGTTTTACGTGTCATCGCCAATATAGGCCTAGTAAGAAAAAATAAAAAATATAATTAAGTGCCAAAGTTATCATTCGAGCAAGTAGTTAGCACACCAAACAGACGGTGTCTCGTGACATTGTTCAGTTGAGACTTAGCGCGACTGGGCCAAACGGAGAAACTTCTACATTAACCGCAACAACAATTTAGTGTTCGCAAAAAGGAAAACAGCAGTCAGACTGCAAGCAATCAAATACTTAACTACGCATTCTACCTATAAGGCTCAGGTGAGCCAAATAATTCTTTTTATTATTTTTATTTTTTCTTTAAAACTTATCAACACACTCACGAGCATATTTGATTGCATATTTCAAATAAAAATATCGGCAATTATATTTGCTTATATATGCGCACCTCGATATGCAATCAATTGCCATGTGAGATGTGCACATTAATTTCGGACTTCAGCCAGTTTCACTTTGTAAATTGTTTGTTTAGTTTTGTATCGTAATTTATTGTGTTAATTTTTGTTTGAGTTGCCATATCCGCCATACATTGTAACCTCTTGCTAATTTATATAGCAGAATTCAATTTAATTTTCTTTGTTCTTCGGCGAATAGTTTTTTCATTATAATTTTTTCATCGTAATCGAGGTTAATTAATAATATATGATGCAATTTTTAATAAAGATCGGCTTTACGAAATAACTGGAAGAAAAATATAATATTCAAATGGTGCCATCGCCAGCTACTAACTTGAACGCAGAATTCCCTATCACGAAGTTGTTTGACCTTACCTGAGTGGCTATGCTACTGCTTCAACAACTGTAAATGTAATATAAAACGCTTTGGACACCCAGCATTGCCGTAAGCTTGGCGCACTACCTTTTCCGTGCACTACATTTACCCTCATATTGCCGTCAGCCGGAAGCGGTTACTTATCTGCTTTGCCGCTTTGATTTTGTTCTTCGCTTTCATACACTTTTTGAAATACAACATATTTAAATATAATATTTTGCTTATGTGAAGAGTATAAGAAGCATGTTTTACGTCGTCAGAAAATAGTTCTGAACTGTTCTTAATTGTTTAAATATTTGTGTGATGCAAAGATGTTTTATTTTTGTGATAAAGAGTGATTTTTTAGTAAACGAGAATTGAATTGTCATTGATTTGTAACGTGCAAATGAGCTCAAATTTTGTTTTATCTGTCAATCCATTATTTTGTATTGCTTCGCAATTATATATTTGTAAAAAAGCCAAAATAACAATATATCAAAATTTTAGGAATTTCTTATATATATGTATGTACATTTTCTAGTTTTGTGTACTTTTATTTGTAACGAAGACATTGTGCACGTATCTATACTCTTAGCTGAAAGTAGTACATTGTGCTTTATCATCAACAGTGAGTTCTTTTACATCTTAAACTGTAGTTGCATTTGTTATGTTGATTGCACCATCAGTTGCTGTTATGTTGCACTGGTACAAAACGTAACACAAAAGTGAATTATCAATAAGCCGGAATGTGTAATAAAATTTCATTGCGCATTCCATGTATAGTAGCAATTTTCATTGTTTACTTTTGAGAAGATTTAGTTCAATACGACTTTACCTTTTATTTGGAGCACCTCAAATATTGAGTACGGTGCCTATAATTTTGCTGCAGCAAAACCATTTCTCAATCTCAATCTCAAATAGTGAATGGCTAGTTTGTTTCAATGGCAAACATTGCTTACTTATACATATGCACATGGGGATATAGTATATGCAGATATGTAAGTGCAAACCTACATGTACAGATTAACACTGGAGCTAAGTCATATGTTTGCTATCAAGCATTAATTTCGTATTTTCTCTTACTCACCTTAAAGTATGTATCGTGAAAAAAATATCATACCCTGAATAGTGCCTTGTTATTAAATTTGTGACACCCGACCCGACAGAGTCGATTTAGCCTCATCAGCGTGTACGTTCGTCCCATTGAATGTCTGTACATATGCGATTTTGACGATCTAAACTTTTTTGAAAGCTGTTCATTGTCGGAAACGCCGATATCGGAGACTATGTCATATAGTTGCCATACAAACTGAACGATGGAATCAAGTTATGTAGGGAAAACTTCTATATTTGATGATTAACTTCACTTCGCATGGATAATTGTCCAAAGCAACGCTATAATATCCGCTGCAATAAAAATTTACCGACCAAAGTCATGATTTTGTATGGAAACTTTTGTACTTGTGAAGGGTATTATAGCTTCGGTGCAACCATAGTTAACGTTTCTTCTTGTTTTTAATTTCAAGCCTTGTACTTTTCTTGTATTTTTTTGCTTATCAGTTTGTGTGGTATTTAATCAGTCATTTCGACATATGGAAACGTGTGATATTTGTGGTTAAATTTTTTTTTTATGTTGCAATCGGAAGAACTTATATTCTTTTGCCATTGTTCTGGCATAAAAATATCTTTGGAGAATTCTGCTGAATCATCGCCAATAAATTCATATTCAATTTAAATTTCATACTAACTCCTTACATGACCTCTTTTCAGACTGCTCAGCCAAATTTTTCCTCTTAGGCCAATTGCATTTTAAATAACAACGTTTCTAATTTTGCGTCGAACTGTTTAGAATATTTGATTTTTATCACTGAAATGCCCGATAACAAGCACTTTATTGAGACAAAGAACTTATTTCGAGAAGTGCAATCACCACAACAAAAACATACTTCAAATATATATTTATATAATTTTATGACTTTGTTTAGTTATGTTTCGCTTTGTCGCGCAACTGCGTCAGCATCACCAAAACTCCAGACACTTGACGCCCACTGTACTAACACGCAGTTGAGAGCAAGCAAGGACAAGCTTGCTAATGTGTGTGTTAAGCAGATACCCGATTTTATTTAGTTCGCATTTGTTTTTGTGCTTGCGTGTAATTCACATGTATGTATGTACACTGATTTAATTTACCAAAAATGCATTGACCTATCGCATTGAAGCTTTGAGACTTAAACACCATTTACATATGTATATAAAATGTGTGCGCTCTGCTCTCACAGCCGCGGGGGTGGTGGCGGAGAGCTGAGTGAAATTGTCTGAAAGTCAAGTTCATGCACCCGTTAAATATTTACTACCTTTCATAAAGACCGTTCTATGTGTTCGCGCTACCACTACCAAATAAGAGCAGTTAAATACATACAAACACTTTCAAAATATAAATATAAATATACACATATGTACATGCGTATGAAAGTTTGCATTTCGTTCTGCGTCATCTCTTGGCATCATATTTTAAAATTTCTATCTGTGTTTTTATAAAAAAATTTTCAGAGCAGTACCTGTTAACCTCTTTTAACCGCAGATATATATTATGAACTGTCCCCGTTCATGTTTTTATTTTTATATGTTACATTTGCCAATTTATGCAAATGAAGCGATGCTAACGATTTTTAATTAGTCCGTTCCCACGACAGTCGGGTCTACGAAAACCGGAACGGACCCGGATTTTTATCCGGCCAAGGACTGTCAACTCGGCAGAATTCTGCCGTTACAACAACAACAACAACAACATTTTTAATTAGTACAAAGTAAGAGTCGGTCAGTTTGCCGCATTCGCTCATACAATATAAGTTCATTCATAAGTCTTAGCGCTTTGAATCAGAGGTGAAATATGCATATGTAAACTATGTATGTAGTATGTATGCCGGCCATATCTGTGATAACGTCTGTCAAAATCATAAATATTTTCTTTTTTAATTTTCACATGCGTTCTGTTTGTTTGTTATGTTTTGTATTTATTAATTTTTTTATTGTTTATGAATTTTATTTATCGTTGTTACTTATATTTTATTGCATATATTAAAAGTGAGCAGTTGCTATGCCATATAAAATATATTTTTTGTATTCTTCCAACCACTCTGCGGCTGCAATTTTTTCCTTGGCTCAACTGTAACCAAAATTTAATTTATTGTCACAACTCGTCACAACGTCCAAGAGTGTGCTGAGTAAATAGTTATTTAACACATCTACATATGTAGTATGTGTTCTTGCTTAGAATGTAGTTGCAGTTTTAAGAAACATTTTAGTTTCCCATTCCAACAATATGCTCTCAGCCGCAATGCTTTTCAATTAATTATGGTATTTCACCGACTGTTTATTTTATTTATGCCATCATTTCAATCTGATTTGTATTTTTTTCCGACTTTATTGAGGGCGAAATGCGCTATCGCAAAAATTTCGGTAATTTACACCTTAGTGTGATAAAGAACATTTTTGACAACTCACCATTTCATATGAAAATTGCTTTTTATGTGTATACATATGCGCAATAAATTAGAACGAAAGTTTATTCGTCTATAATCAGCATACTTTGAGCATACATACACACATATGTATGTACAATATATACTTACATAAGTATATATAGGTGTGTATGCATGTTAAACAAACAAAAATCAGACGTTAAGGTAAAATATCACACACATATATACTCAAAAAAAGAAAACTGGCAAACACTTGACAGCCTTCATTGCAGCTGATAAGATTACATTAAAAATATTTATAAAACCGAAAATGTTATTAAAGCAGAAATGGCTCGAAGGAAATAGTGAGTAGTGCTTCGTTGTAAATATGTCAGTATATAGTCACAAGTCATTCATGATTTGAATAGTTGTAGCGGGTAAACATAGGTGAATGACGAATAAATATTGGTATTAAAACGCAGTATTCAATAAAACATAGTGATTATTTAAAAATCATTGGGCAGCAGTAGCAATTAGTCAATTATCAGTACTTAATTCAGTCAGCAATCAGTCAGTCAATTAACTAAATATTCCCTGCAAACGAACATAGCCAAAAGCAACTTTTGATAGTGAATAGTCACTGCCACAAAGTCAGCAATGAAGCCAAAGGCAGACTAATTATTTGTCAAGCCAATATTTAAAGTCAGGACCATTTTTAGTGATTGTGTTTAAAATCCAAGATAATTGTTTTTTTTTTAACAACTTTTATGCCCATCTGCTCATACAAACACTTTTAATTAATATACTCTTTCCATGAACTCACTTCCGCTGCACAGCTGCATTGTACTTCGAGTGAGTATCCAACTCGTTTTGAAATGAATATATTACAATTTTCTGCATTACATCGATTTAGCATAACTCTACAAATCAGTCGCTGTAAAGAAGTTGCATGTCGCTTCGTGTGCTCATTGTAGCCGAGGCCTCGTCTTTTGCTTGCTTGCCACCAATGTAAATATCCACACCACGTGTTTGCTGTTGTTAACATGCCAA